TTTCTTTAATCTATACTTGCTGAAGCAACCCTGCCAACTTTAATGTAACGATTTGATTACTATCTCGAAATATAAAAAATATAAAGATGATTGAGAAATGTCGCGTATCAAACTCGAATAATTATTGTCATAAATTGGCTCATGATGCAGAAGTAATAATAATGCCAACAGAAGCCAGGAAAGCAGCAAAAAAGTGGTGGAGAAATTACAAGAGCCTTCTTCTAAGAGTTTACATTTCAAAACCTGCAGTGATAGAGGACATAAGGGCCTTGAACACAGCTTAAGATGATTTATTTCTAAGCAATCATGTCGTGTATCAAACTGCAGTAAGAATGCTAGCAACAACTGTGTCACTGCTTAGGAAAAATTGTTGCCAGCATCAGTGCCAGTAACTCAACTCTCATGTACACGGCACTGATTTATCGATGTCCAAAGGACTTGGATTCAAAGATGCAGATTTGAGGAGCTCCGGATTGCCTTCTAAAATAGTCATGTCCTTTTCATCCAAGGTCACAAAAGCTTCTATGCCATCACACCTTGTGTCCACCAAAAAGACAAGGTTCATGGTAAGTGAACACGACAAACCGAAACTGCTGACCCAAACAGGCTTGCCCCATCCAAAATCAGTATCATAGAAGCCAAATTTACACCAACTGGAAAAACCAAGGTAGTCTACTCCATCCCCGGAGCCAAATGCACCTATACCTTTAAGTGATTCATCCATTAGAGCATTGCCTTTATCACCTTTTATATGCTCAACAAAATCAGAATCAATTTTTGATATTGCTTTCCTCACCTCACCAACCAAGTCTTTTAATCCAGGCTTGGACTTGTTTGTGTATTTTTCAGCTGCTAACCACAGAAAATTTCCCATGGAATTACCTGACAACTTCGGTTCCATTTTTCTTCGTAGATTCACATAGTGTGTTAGTAAAGAAGGCCTTTGGGATCCTCGCCATTCTTCTGAGGCAGCCATAAGGCACTTCCATAGGAAAGAAGAGACCACCTCGACGCGAGTGGGGCATTTCAATCCTAAGATGGCTGCTTGGGCCTTGAGGTTGGAAATTGCTGAGGCGTCAAACACAAATCTCTTGGTCATGCACTGGCCCTTTTTGAGCAAGGAACCAAACATAACAATCGCCGAGTCTCTAAGCCACAGATCATTTGCAGGGAAGAGAGAACTGGCAATGAATTCAGGATATATAATTGCTTCCTTGCTACCTTTGGCTGTGGCAGACCATGCCTTGAGAAAGGTGCTCAATGCAGCACCATCTACGACCCGATGAGATATGCACATGCCAATAACAATACCACAACATTCGAAGACATTTACTTGAAAATTAGCAACGTATGTGACTGCTGTTGATTCCGTTGGAAGGAGCTCACAGGGAAAGAACTGATTAGCTAACAGGAGGTCAGGCTGCCTAAGGAATTCACAGAGATGACAGTTTACTTGTGTCTCCACATAATAGGCCCCTTCATCGTTGCAATCAATGGAAAGTTCATCTTTGATCTTTCCAGCAAGTGGATAGAATTGAGTTAAGGTCTCTGATAGAGATTTTTTAAGCAACTCTAGTCTTTTGGGGACATCAAGATAGCTAGTACTAGCCTTTTTATTCATAGGATAGAACAGGAGAATTGGTGCATATGGAACAGTAACAAGCTGGTCCAAAAGGGACAGCTTGAAATTTCTTAGGGGTGAAGGTGTTGGAGAAGATGGCTTTACATTTTGTTTGGAGATGATTTGAACTTCCATTTTCCTTGTTTTTAGCTTCCTTTCAAGTTGGCTGAGGGATCTAGCGTAGCATCAACATGTTTTTATACCTCAGAGAGTATTATACATAAATCCAAGCAAACCACGAAAAGAAGTGGCAAAGTGATGCAGGCGGAAAACAAAATGTAAGAATACAACCAGCAAAGAAAGACAAAATTGTTGTCAAAAAAGGTTTTTACACAAGAATCTGATTCGCACTCAATAATTATCTTTCTCTAAGAGTTTAAAACAGCCAGAAATCGACAGACCTTTACAAGGGAAAAAAAAGTCAAAATCCTAAAATCAAAACGAAAACACAACAGACAATTCGAAATTGAATTGAAATTTGAAAAAAGAAGGAAAAATTCAAAATTGGTCATACAACACCTTTCAAGCCTAATTTGAAGCTCTTCTAGTGCTCAGTGGATTACAGCCAATCAAACCTTCCATAGAACACAACCTGTAGAATTATCTAGAAAAATTTGAGTATAATTCAACTATCAAATAGAAAATTGTAACATTTTATGTCAAGTTCATGCTCTTTTCTTTTTCTTAACTTTAGCTTACTAATCCATGAGTCTATTAGGTTTTCTTCACGGTCCGCGGGTAAAAGATCCATCCAGAACTACTAGACTTTTCGAATCCGCTACATCACAAAGAATTGATATGTCTACATACTTCTCATGCCATTGACTCTTTCCAACCCTTACAATGCCTGCAAGTCAAATTTTGTGAGCAGATATGTCAAAACAAATAGCTACAAACTATTAATGGCATAAGCATACTTGAAAATCTGATCCCTATAAATCTTACCACTTGAAGGTTTTCTTTAATCTATTGCTGATAAAAAATTTACAAGCATGATGGAGGTTGCTGTTTAAAACTCAACACCATGTTTTTCTTTAATTAATGAAGCAGCGTGGATCACAATGTGAGTTACCACTTATCTATCCTTGCCGAACCACCACTGCTCCAAGACTCTTGAAAGCTTTTTTACTCTTTAATATTCTGAGAGACTGTCACCTTCAAACTATTAAGCTTTTGCTTTTGGTCTTTTACAAGGTTTTATGACAAATGCAGCCTTTCTTGTCCAAAGATTAAGTAAGCAAATATTCTGGTTGATAAGTTTACAATACGAGGTTGAACTCGGAATAAGCACTGACCTTCAACTTCTGACATGCATTCTTAGATCACTTGAAAACTCTGTTTGTAATTTTTAATAACCTGTTGAGAACAAAAGCATCTGATACTCTTGTTTGAACTCATAAACATGGCATTGCAGCTTTCTAGATTGTTAAGTAACAAAATTACAAGGACAAGAAAGCTTTTCAATTATTGGATTCGACGATATTATTTCGTTTTCATAAGGTGTGGATAATAAGTTGAGTTTGAGTAATCTTTGCTGTTTGCTAACGAGGAAACTTGGATTGAATTCAGGGAAAATATTGAAGAGTTCTTATAATTTCTCAGGTTTTAAACCCTCTTTGATGTTTCAGTCTGTCAAAAGTACACCAACTTTGATGTTTCAGTAATCTACGTCTGCCAACATAGGTATTTGTAGTCATCAGGACAATAAGGAGCAAATAGCTCAGCTAGAAGCCACTTTTTCCTTCTTGGATTAAACCCCATGTCCTTACAGATCTGATCATTGCAATAGATTTGCAGCAACACGCTAATGCATGATCTTTTGTAGCTCTCATTCGCATAATACTTCATGCATTTTTCCCATTTTTTCACATCAGCTTCCATCTCTCCTATGGTTGGTAACTTAAATTTGCCAGCAAGAAAATGGGCTAGCCACTTGCTTCTCATTTCTGTTGTATACAAGAATGCAGGACTATCCGCGTATCCAAGTATTGCCAGTTGTGGGATATGGGGATGTATGCATTCCCTGAAAGATTAAAATAAAATCAATGTCATAAGTCAGTAGGATTGAGGACTCTGAAAACTCCAAAAGATTAAGTGCATCACCAGCACCTGTAGAAGGAAGCTAGTGACTCGGTGATGCATTTCTGAAAGTAGCTTGTTTGGAAAATATTCTTGAGCTTTTCATCACTTTTGTATCCGGTTGCAAAGATAACAATATCTGTTGCTATAGGGGTCTCCTCGCTATCTATAACCAAACCGTTTTTGCAAAATTTGAAACTCTCCGACTTCTTCAGGACGAGGCTTCCTTCTTCGACCTTGTCATAAAAATTGGCCGGCAACACTGTGAACATGCATGAAGATATCTGTTTGAGGAAGCCATGTTCTGGGACCATATTGTATTTCTTCAATGGTTGCTTCCTCTTGAGATAGGCCTCCACTAATTTTGAAAATATCCACAGCTGAAACCACACATTATAGGGCGTCAATTGGATGACAGGCAGCATGTAACTATCACAGGAGGCGCTATGAGAGGTTACCAGAGGTGAAAGCAAAATGACTAAAAGCCAAATGAAAAATCCTTGATCAGGCTTGTGAACCATAAACTCCGTGAAGCGATTTAAGCTTTTGAAGGTGAGTGCGATAAAGTAGTCAGGAACTATCCAATGGACAGTTCTGAATATCAGTGTGCATGGGTGATCTACACCTAATGAATCAGAACAAAATAAACAATTCAGTAAGAATCTCATGATGTGAAACACTAGAACAGAGTCAGTGACAGCATCTGAATGAAGAAAGGGGTTAAGATTTCGATTCAGCCACGATCAAGAAGAAGAAAGAAGAGAGACCACTTATTTCCCTTGTAATCTATTTGTTGTCATTTTCCAAAAAACCTAGCCAACAGCCTAATATAGTACAACTAGACAATCTGTTGCTAAATATCATGCTCATCAATTAGCATACCTATTAATTGAAGACTTCACAAACCTTGACTGATAATAATAAATTTTCGGCAGAGAAGGAAAAGTCTCAAAACATGTCTCAATCCATCAAAAGTATCCCGAGATAGGAAATGCCACTAACCATTTCTCTCTGCAACTTCTGCTGCTATGTCCACTGCTGATTTCTGAAAGCCGATAATTGTAACCCGTTTGTTTGTAACTAACTCAGCAGCACAATCATTAGCCATTGCAGCATAATCCATAGAGTGTAAGACCTTCCCGTTAAACACTTCAGGCCCACTGTTCAAGGGAAAATCTGGTATGTTAGGCAGGTCACTGTACTTTCCAATGCAAAGGATCACAAAATCCAGTTGGTAAACCTGGAATAAGAAGATCATACAGAAAGATTGCTTAGTCCAGACATCCCAGCAATTTTCTCCACCAATTTATCATCTCTAATGGTTTAATCTTGTCTCTAAATTTACAGTAAAGCTTTACTCTGGATTTCATCTTTGTGTTCTGATGTGCTTAAGTTGTTGAACTGAATAATTCAGATCCAAATTATGCCAATCTTGAACTTAATTAAACATGAAAAGAAACTAAATAAAGAATACTAATTAACACAGTAACAATTGAAGGGAGCAAATCATAAACAGTAAATCAGTGGCTTAGAATGAAATAAGCAAAAAGATCTTGATTACCTCAACTGGTGCAGCGGGATCCCTGGCATCCTGTACAGTGACATTCCATCTTCCAGTAGGAGAAAAAGGCCAACCAATGCCACCCCACAAATCCCAAGATGGGAAATCCTCATTACCTGGTACTACATAGTCTATGCAAGTCACTTTGCAGTTAAATCTGATCCTAGGAAGGATATTAAAGTGAACAGCATAGGCTTTAATGTACTCCATTACTTGTTCGTCATCAGGGAAAGTCTCTGTAACTGAAGGTGGCCAAGCAAAATCTGAAAACTGGTACATTTTTTTAGGTATTTGTAGCTTTGTAGACTCTATGGTTTGAGACCAGACTCCACCTATGCCACTCCTTGCTTCAAACACAATAGGGCTAAAACCCTTCTCCAGTATGTGTTTGCATGCAAGTAAGCCACTGATTCCGGCACCGATGATGGCAATCTTCTTCTCCATTTTCTGGTCCCAACTCCTGCAGGCAGGAATCACTATTATAATGGACCCTGAAATTCATCATTTCCCATGCAAACTGATAACTAAATGCTATGACTTGGTAATCACCTGTCCTCTTTTCCTTTCTGGTGAATTGTTTAATTTTACTTGATTGAAGGAGCTAAGCACCTGAAATTCATTGATTAAACTCAACTTGAATTGATCATTAAAGCACGACTCTTCTAATCATGGATCAGCAATTTGGAGTTTCTTTTCCTTTTTCCTTTTCTTCTTGAAATAGCAACCTTTCATGTACGATATTAAAGAGAACCTCGTGGATGATTTAATACAGGAGAAAAGGCGACACGAGACAGGCTGCTGGAAACAACTATCTGTCAACCTTATGGTTCTTAATAGTTACGATAATTTCAAATTCAATACCGGTTTTTACATTTCCGACCATAGATTCTTCTATATTCGGATTGTTATATTGACGAGATTTTTTTTTTTTTTACTTTGTTTGGCAAGTGAAAGATCCGCCTATTTTGTTTTTACCTTGAATTTTTTTTCTAAAAAATGAAGAAAAATAGAAAGATAATTTTATATTTTTGGGTTTAACCAAACACTAAAAACATCCATATATAAATTTAAAAAATTATTAAAATTATTATTTTTTAACTCAGCTAAAAATTATTAAAATATTAGACCAATATTTTTAGTCTTACTTAAACATTGAACCCATAATTCTTTTCACTTCAAGAATCTTGAGCTCTATAGTTAGATTATGAGTTATATATATATATATATATATATATTACTCTTTGAGGAGTCAATTTTTTTTTACTTTTTGATGATTTAGAAATACTTTACAAACACTTTTACCATTTTCATTAAAAAAAACAAGTCATATAATTATATTTTTCTCAAATGATATTTATTTAAGTTTTTAAAATTATCAAATTAGATATATTTTGCAGGGATTCAGACACCAACTATTTTGGCTAGGAAAAATTAATAAGATTACCAAAGATTATCCAATTATTATACAAGCCTTCATCCACAATCTCACGGGGAAAAATCCGAACCTCATCTGTAATGCTTTTAGATTATGGTTGAAGCGTTTGATATTTTATAAGATGATGACAAAATCATTAAAAACCAAGTAAAACCTTTTATAAAAACATCTTCCACGCATCACTGGCTCGCGATCTTCTTTTGCATCCAAACCTCACATGATAAAGCAGGAAAGCAAACCCATTTATCATCTTATCAACCAAAGCCAGCTTTCCATGTCCACGTTGCTTCTCTCTTTTTGATGGTCCCAGCAATGGCACCTCAGTACTATCATGGGCTTCAGCGATTTACCTGTTCCAAGCAAGCTCTTATCACTGGATTGGTCCACAAGCCCAAACACTACACTCGAGGCATCATGCTCAGAGAGGAAAGTTTTCCTTTCATGTTCTTGCTGTGCTTATACATCCGGTCTGTTATTAATAAAATAAAATACATATTGCATTAACTGTTCGTAGTGGAAGCAGAGAAATTTTATTTAGATTGACAACCATATTCAATATTTGTAAATGTACGAACACGAATCGGTTTTATCTTTCAATTCAATGTTGATTTACAGTTTACTAGTAGTGTTTCCCTTTGAGATGCTTCCCATGGTCTTTGCCTTCTCCTTCAGGACATATTTTTGCACCTTCCCAGTTGAAGTCTTTGGCAATTCCTGAAACACAACAGTTCGAGGTGTCATGTAGCGGGGCAAGTGATCTCTACAAAATTTGATAAGTTCTTCCGCATTGGCATTACATCCTTCCTTCAACTTCACAAATGCACAAGGTGTTTCTCCCCAGTAATCATCAGGTCTTCCTACTATAGCTGCTTCCAGAACTGCAGGATGACTAAAAAGTACAGACTCAACCTCAATTGAGCTGATGTTTTCGCCCCCAGAGATTATGATGTCCTTTGATCGATCCTTTAGCTCTATATAACCATCAGGATGTTTCACCCCTAAATCTCCACTCCTATACCATCCACCATTGAATGCATCTTTTGTTGCTTCCAAATTTTTCAAATATCCATTCATCACAGTATTGCCTCTAAACATAACCTCACCCATGGTTTTTGCATCTGCTGGTACACTCTTCATGGTAACAGGATCTTTTATATCAAGTTCCTCCAACCCAAGATGTTGCACCCCTTGACGGGACTTGATCTTTGCTTGAGCTTCTGGAGTTAGGGAAGCCCATTCAGGTTTCCATGCGCAAACTGTGCCAGGACCATAGGTTTCTGTCAAACCATATGAGTGAGTCACATGAAATCCTAATTCTTCCATCTTGAAGAGCACATGAGATGGTGGGGGTGCACCTCCTGTCATGACCGCCACTTTTCCTGGAAGAGGCCTTTTTTCACTAGCTGATGCATTTATTATCATGTTAAGAACTGTTGGTGCACCGCTCATGTGAGTAACCTTGTGCTGAACAATATTTTCAAATATGTCTTTTGCAGTGACATATCTCTGGCAAACATTCGTACCACCCTGTGCAGCCACAGCCCAAGTAAGACACCAACCATTACAATGAAACATGGGGACGCACCATAGATATACAGGCATCGCGCTCATGTCATTTAGAAGAGCAGCAGCAAGAGAATTAAGATAAGCTCCTCTATGGCTATAAATAACACCTTTTGGACTTGATGTAGTGCCTGAAGTATAATTAAGCGAAATGGGATCCCATTCATCTCGTGGCCGTCTAACTTCAAAGTCCAATTTTCCCTTTTCCAAGAGACTCTCATATTCCAAGATTCTAAGGGAGGAAATGGCAGCCGGCTGACCACACTCTGGGATTAAGACAAGAAGTGGTAGCTTGGTTTTTCTCTCTGAGAGAATCTCGAGTGCTCCTTGAACAATTGGGAGAAATTGGTAGTCTACAAAAATAAGTTTAGCCTCTGAGTGTTTCAGCAAGACAGACACCATTGAAGAATCATGGCGCACATTAAGAGTACACAAAACTGCCCCAGCCATCGGAACACCGAAATGTAGCTCATACATTGCTGGAATATTTGGGGCCAATGCAGCAACCTGCTCAAATTTCTAGACATTAATGTTTGGCAGATTAATGTGCAGAGATTAAAGAAACTAATAACCTTGAATAGATTTGTTTTGCAGAAATCCACCATCTTTTTGTTAAAGAACCATCTCAACCTAATAACTTAAGCTATTAGGTGAAATTCTAGAATATAATTTATATTATTTTTTAACACACTCTCTCAAATAAAAATCTTTTGATCCTTTAATATTAAATAATAAATTCGAATTCATAACTGTTTGGCCATCAAAGCTTTGATATCATTTTAAACAATCAATTCAACCCAATAGTTTAAGTTATTAGATGAGATCCTAAAATATACTTTATATTATTCTCTAACACTTTTTTCCATCAACGAGGGTACATTTATTTCAAGACAATATCCCAAATCTCTTGAAATTCCCATAATTTAAGTATTAAATGTTGAATTGTTCGATTGGATTTTATACCAAACACCAGCAACCATCTGGTGAAACAAACCCTGGATACATCATGGCAACTTCTTGTATCAAAGTGAACCCAGAATGGGAATCCTATGCGGTCCTTTAAAGAGCAGTGTAAGGAATCCTATATGGTCCATTAAAGAGCAGTGTAAGCTATGCATGTCTAAAATTCTTCATTTTGCATTCACCGAATTAGATGTTGAAAGAAAACAATTATCCCTTTCTTCCCTTATCAATGATGATCTCTGGCATTCTGTAAGGTGGTAGACATTGACAAGCAGCTGCGATTTATTCAAATTCTGGACCATATATATACATCCAAACAAAAATCATGGTGAACAACAAATGGCAAGATAGACAAATTCTATCAAGTTTAACAATTAATTCAGATTAAATTAAACATAAAATTCAACCAGAAGCCAATTTCATGCCTCGAATTTCCATTTCAAAAAGGAAAAAAATTAAAAATTTTCCAATATTTTGAGACACAAATCCAAAGATTGTCAGCAAATCAGAACAAAAACGCTTTAAAACGAGAGAAAAAATTAACGAGGATAGAAACAGAGGAGCAGCTAGTAGTTACCACATCACCGGGGGAAATTCCGAGATGGGCAAGAGCAGAAGCGAGTCTGACACACCTCTCATGAGTCTCCTTCCACGTGTACTTGATGTCACCATAGGCAACAGAGACTCTGTCTCTGTAAACAATGGCTGAGCGTTCAAGAAAGCTGATTGGAGTCAAAGGGACGTAGTTAGCTGAGCACTTGACCATGCCCTCCATTTCTTACTCCAAAATTATCACTTTCTCCCTTGGTTTTTGGTGTTTCTTTTATTATCAGAATCAGATCGAGCCTGTCCACCTTAATTATAACTCGTGGCGGGCAACGCACGAACCAGCACTTCTTTTACTGCTGCTTCGACACAAACAACGTTGCCACTGGAAAAAAAAAGAAAAAAAAAAGAGAAAAAGATCTTGTTATAGCTATAATTTTAAATTTATTTAGTTAATTAGTAAATAATAAAGTTTTATAAGGGTTTCATTAAAAATTATCTCTTAAAATCTTAGTTAAAAAAATTATTAGTTGTAGATTTTTTTAAATTTATTTTCTTGAATGGTAATCATAAAATCAACCATGATAGTAACATTCACTAACAATATAAGGTATCATTATTTTTTTTTCCTATCTCTTGTCAGATTTTCGTGCACCATCACTGCACATTCTTGTGCATTAATTTAATTTATTTAACACATCTATTGCGTGCAAAGGATTATTTTTTTATTCATAAAAAAATAATTAATAAAAAAAAAGAGAAGAAATTCACTTACTAGTGGAGGATCAAGTTTAACGGGCTCTTACTCAAAAGTTGAGTTCTATTTAATTGTTTTATCTTTCGAGTGTCCAATATCGGCCTTCAGAAGTTCTGTCAGGGAAGCTCTTCGTTAGATAATGAATTGCATCATTGGGTTCATGTGACCTTGAGCAGGATGGCCAGCACCAGTTCTTTCTTGCTTCTCCATCTCTCTAATTAACCTAGCCTGTCTATTTGCTTCTCATTCTCTTGAGTAGGACCACTCGATCGGCATGCATGTCGGCATGCATGTTGTGTCCAAATTGTGTGCTTCGAAGAAGCAATTGCTATTGTGATTAGATTGGGTAGGCTACGTAATCGCATACGTCTTCATAATGTAGCTTTTGACGTGTCACCATATGAGTGGAAGGGATCAAGGTAGCTGGTCTCTACTATCTTCAGAGCTGGACTGAAGTAGTCAAGATACATTCGATCTCTGAGATCAGGTCTCATATCTAATGCTAGACATGACTTGTAACGTGCGCTCACGTGTTTTGATGGACCAGATGTATAATGGGTTCGTGTTGATTTTTACTTTAAACAGTCTTTCTTACACTAAGTAGTCATCATTTCATTTTTTTTCTTTTTGTTTGAAAGAAATTAAAGCTTGGATTAACCTACAACCTGAGCCTGCGAACAGACCGATGTTCGAGTTGAATATTGTATCTAATTGTATTTCTTGAATCAGTTTTGTAGAAGAAAGAATATTAGTGAAGAAGATACGGAGGGGTCATACACCTTGTCTGCTTTTGTCGTCTTTGAACATCGAATTGAACAGATAGTATTCATTCAGCTGGGAAATCTTTTACAGGAGCCAATGAGCTCGGGGGGTGGCCTTGCAGTCCAGTCCAGAGGACATGATTGGGCCATAGTCATGATCTAGATGTCATGTTACCATGCATATTGTCTGGTTTCTTCATCATCCAGCCACGTTCTAGATGTCTTTTGTGTAAACTTGAAGGCATGGTGCCGTAATTGCAAATGCTCTTGAATACTGTTACAATACCTTCACGTGGATTTTTTCAAGAAAATCTCCTTTGCGAATCTCTGGATTACGCGGTCTCTCTTCTAGCAAGCCAGTTATTAGTTTTATTGCCCTCTCTTGGTTCTGCACATAATCATAAACGGCAAGTGACTCGAATGAAGCCTGTAAGAACAAGAGCTAACGTTTTCTAAAATAATTACCTTTTAAACATCTATGGAATTGCAGTACCAGGACTATTCAAGGTGATTGACATGAGTCCTTGCAAGAAGTCGATGTGAGACATTGATGGTACTGCTAAATTTATGTTTACTACTACAAATCTTGTAGTGAGGCATCGAAACAGCAGTGCCTATGATGCTTCACTCCATCTATCTGGAATTAGAACTTCGTAATTCAAAACGTAATAATACATTAAGCTCCGATGATTTACAGTTGAACTGGCACTTTTCACTTCGATGGTCGGTCGATTCGACCAATCCAATCCTGCAATGCTTGGCTTATAGCAGTTTCTAACTTAGGCCGCAGCTTATCTTTTGGGGGCTAGGGCCAAAATAGGCCAAGACTAAGTTCCTGAGCTATATGGAGCCATGTTTTGAAATGATTGGTGCAGCTTCTTGATGAGAAGAAGCTTGGCAAAGGAACCCATATGCCATCTCTCAACCAACTTTCCTTCTTGTTGAAGAAGGAAATAGATGAAATCAGGATCTGATGAGACAATCACTGGCCGACCCACCAGGCTGGTTCGAAATAGGGAACCATATCTGCAAACATAAAAAAGAGAAAATGAAGGCCAAAAATCAACCATCAGAGTAGAAATTAAGCCAAATCAACGTGGGCAAAAAAAATAAAAAATCAAGAGGACTATTTTCTGCTCTCTGCTCACTTTCTCATTCTCTCCTTGTTAAAATTTGGGATGCCTGGTGACTTGCTTGGAATAAGAAACTGCATGGTCTCCCCAAAATATGGGGAGCCCATGGATCCAGGACGTAGCCTTTTCCTTTTCTCTCTGTCTGGGCCATAAAATAAAGAAGCCCAGTTTCTTTATATCGAAATAGTGGGCCCACAACCCAAGTGACGAGTCCCATCAAAATAAATAATGATCCAATGCTGGGACAGCAACTGGTGCAAAAAAAACGCAAGTAAATGCAAAATCCGAACATTTTAAGGAAAGAAATCATTGTCATGCCTTAACCGTCAGATCAAGAATATGACCGTTGAGCCGCTCCCCTATATGAATTCAAACACGTAGTCCACAGAACCCTACAAACACAGAGAAAAGGAATCAGAGGAGCCTCTACTACAAACAATTCAAATCAAAAGGCCAATCATCTCCATCTCTCTTCAGTCTTTAATTTCCTGTCATCACAAGAACACCATCATCTTTAACTTTCTTTCTTTATACACAGTTTTCTTTGAAGAAATCTTTCTCAAAATGTCAAGGATGAGAACCGATCGCAAGCCTCCACTTGCTAAATCCCCCATCAGGATCCGTCCTCGCCGTGTTCTTCGATCTGAAGCCACCACTTTGCAAACTCCTCCTGGTGAGCTTATCATTCGTTGTTGTTGTTTATGGTTTTTGTTTCTTGGATAAAGAAGGTTTTTCACCAACGTTTTGGTTGTATCAGGTTCTTTGACCAAGTCCCAGAAACCAAACCGAAAATTGGACACGGAAGATTCTGATCTCCGCCCGGAGTACCATTCAATATCCTGCGAATTGCGTGCTCTTGCGAAGATGGTTCGCGATGAATTTGGAAATGGGGAGTCAACTAATGGTGGGGTCGGTAAAAGTTTGAGTGCAAATTCCAGTCCTTTGTTTGAGAGGGGGAGGTTTTATGAGGAGTATTCTGCTAGGAGAAATGACAGGTTGAAGAGAAAAAAAGGAGACACAGGAGATGATGTGAAGACTCCTTATGATCTTGGAGTTACTGTTGAGTCGTCGAAAAGGAGGTATACAAGGAAGCTTGAGAGCGCAAGGAAATCTGTATCTGATGCTTGCCTTGTGGAGAGAAATGAGACTCCAAGGTACCTGTTGAGGAGCATGAATAAGGAGAACAAGAAACCTCCTTTGCCTGTTTACAGCTTTGAGAAATCTGTGCTTGCAGGTGAGAGGAAAGTTGCTGCTCGCAAGGTTAGGAAAATCTGAATGTCAGAATTGGGTTTTGAAGATGGTTTTATTGATTTTTTGAATTTTCTCTGGGGGTTTTCTTTGTAAGGGAAACTGGATCTTCATTTATTTATGAAGTATCATTGTTTCAAGGAAATGTTTGTTTGTTTCTGGTAAATAATTCTGATGCATGCTATGATATGATTACTATCTGCTGGCTGTATTTTTCTCCAGAAACATGGTTGGGGGAATGAATTTGTTTAGAAATTGCAGTCCTTGTTAACCAAATAATAGTATCCTGCGAATATCACAAACTTCATTAACTCTCCTTTTCAAAATGGTCCAAGAGAATCACAGAGAGAGACTTTTTCCCATTTTGAAGAAGATTAATTAATTTGTGGATGTGTAGGAGAAACAAATTGTCTAATAATAAAGTGGGTAAAGCATCTACCGAAAGTTGTACCATAAGATAGTGACAACATGAGGTGCTTGGTTGTTGCAATTCATTTTTCCCGTCACATTCACAGTGCCATGAGCCTCAATACCCACGACCATGACAAGGATTAGGTGTTTGGTTGTTGCAATTCATTTTTCCTATCACATTCACAGTAAGCCTCAATACCAACAACAATGAAATGGATTTTGGGAATAAATACAGTAGCTGGTCGAGATTTTAGCAACCACGGAGGAACTCCCAATAAATCAAAAAAGACAAAAAGGAGATTCTTGCAATAAATCTGTTTACTGGCAATTTCTTCCCTTGAATATTGACAAAAAAGTTCGCATATGTGTATATTAAATCAAAGAACTCCCAAAAAACAAGAGCTAATGTGAAAACAATTCTACTTTGAATCCGAAACCTATTTCTGTATGAGGAAACAAGCCAACAAATCTTTGCAAAATTAAGAACGATTGCGCGCACCACAAGGTGTTACAAAACCGATCGTGTTGATAAAAACAGAGTTGCTTCTCATGTTGTAACCAGAAGATATGCAAGGCCTTTCAAATATTCAACAATTTCAGAACCTCCTAGCTTTGAACTCCCAAATACTCTATCAACAAAGGTAATTGGAACCTGTGACAAATTCATAACCAATATCAACCAAGGCTGAGGATCACTGCTCAATTTCAGATACAGGGTAGCCTGCAGTTAAAAATTTCAAAACAGAAAACAAACAGCAAAACTATACATGAAATAGAACCATTGTATGATGAGTATAAAGGGGGGAAACAGTTAACAGAGAAAATATGCAATACTATTGGAAATATCTAGAGTTTATCTAGCCATGTCCTAACTATTCAGAATTCAATTGGAATTTTACTGTTCAACAAATACTATTGCATAATGACAAGAATATACATGCTACATGAACAGGGCATTGAAACATTTATGGAACAGGGCAAGCATTGGCATCTCCTGATCTATGTAGTTGTTCACGCCACAACCAAGAAGACAAGCATAAATCAAGATGTGTTCCCATGCATGCATGAAATTTATATCTCGAAACTCAAGACAATCAAGCTGGTGAGAGCAGTCACAATATTGTATAAACTGAAATGTGCACGCGTGTTGATTACAGGTAGTGTATGTTGATTTTAATGATAAACCACAATAATGTGAAATATAACACTACCTCTTCAATATGGCAGCCTTTTCTGGACGCCCGAACAATCATCTCCATTTGAAAGACATATCCCTTGCTAACCACAGAACTGATGACATCTTCAAGCACTGATTTCTTATAAAGCCTTCAAAAATGAAGAAATCTCAGTTCTAAATTCACCAAGCATCACACACTGAATGAATGAAAACCATAAACAAATTCATATACCTGAAAGATCCTGTCAAATCAGATACACCAGGCCACAGAAGTGTTTGAGCAAGAACATTAGCTCCCCTACTAGTTAGCTTGCGCATCAGATTCCACCCATGTACACCTCCACCTTTAACATACCGAGTTCCAGTAACTATGCTCGCACCAGTTTCCAACTGCTTCCTAATGGCATATCAAGGGAGGAAATGCCAGAAAACTTCAGGACATCAGCACCCAAGGTCTAATGCAAGAGCATACAAGTGTACGTTGGAAAAGGTTTCTTACTTGATAAAGCTTGGCAAGTACTTTGGCTGCAAAATATAAAGCATGCGGATCAGGTTAACAGAACAAGCTACTATACTCACTTCCAATTCTAACCATGATGCATAAAAATCTAAACAAACAGCTAAAGCAGGTATGGCCAATATTATCTTTTTTGTTTGAATTTTTCTATTCCATTCCTCTACGGAAGGACGGCGCTTTTCAAGTAAGATATACACAAACATGCAGAAGTTCCTGAAAAAAAAAAAAATCTAACGGGAGATGCCCATAAACATAGACTATCACCTGGAAGCTTCAGTTACTCAAAAGTTACTAGTCAGAATTAAATAGCAAACTCCCACCTAAAAGTAACAGCCGCTAAGTAATACTTACATGGTGAGATAGATCAGCATCCATGATGACAACAAAATTCCCAGACGCATGCTTCAAACCATGAATGTAAGCCGTGCCTAACAATATAAACACACATCAAGAACCATTATTTTCATTTCTTTCTATCATCAATCATAAAGACAATGCTATTTACCTAATCCAAGCTTCTTCGCTCTAGGTCTTAACAACTGCATCATCATCAAAATCAAAGAGATAATTAAACCCAAAAATGAGAATTAACATGCCACATTGAAAAAGTCTAAAAGGGACAGACTTTTTATTGTTATGATACACTTACAATGCGATCTTCGCCATATACTTTCTGTAACTGTTTTACAACTTCTTGAGTACCATCAGGACTCCCATCATCTACAACGATAATTTCGAACTCAACATCCCTAAATCAATCATGAAAACACATTATAAACAATAATTGAATCATTTCTAGGGTTAAAATTCGAAGCATACAGTTCGCGAATAAAAGCAATGAATCAGAGAGAGAGAGAGAGATTGGGGAGTGGAATTACTGGAGATGTTTAAAGATGAGATAAACGATGAGTGCAATGTTGAGACGCTCATTGTACGTTGGGACTATTATACTGTATCTGTTGTTCTTCTCCATTTTTGTTTCGATCGCGAACCCTAATTTTTCAGAAATTAAAGTACGAGGGAAAGAGTCCAAGGTTGTGAACTTTGTGATGATCGAGGGACGGAGAAAAGCTCTGGGTTCGTGGTCTGGTTGCTTCAAGATGGGCTAAAGTAGAGGCACTTTTGAGCAAAGTCGTGGGTCGATCTTCGGTGGGCTAGACCCGTCAAAGAAGGTTGTCAGGAATTCAAAAACATAATTATTAAACTCAGATTAGCCTAATAACCTATTAACTTATTTGGCATAGCCACGCCAAGTTTTTTTAATTTTAAATATTGATTTAATTAAACCCAACCCTAATGACTTGAGGGAGGTTATTTTGTGACGTGACATGGATCAAATGAAACATAAGTGAGATTTAATCAATGTTCTAAAAATAAAATTGTCAAAAACAAAATTGTGTAGGTTCCTTATTTTTTAAAAAAATTCTTTTATCTAAAACAACATTGGAATATTAAAGCAAACATGATAATTCAATGATTTAAGATCTTATCCAGGTTAATTCAATGATTTATGATTTAGAACCTTAGCGGGGTCAGACGATTTAAAGTAAATATGATAATTTTTTTATGGATTTTAACTCGAGGTGATAACATGCAACCATTGCATGAGTGCTTGCAGCAATCACGGGATTTTACTACAATGATTTATTTGATATATACACACACTCACACACATGTGAATATTTCACACGTTTATTGCCTCGAGTGTAGCTAGAGCGACCTTACTTATTTACAGCAGCATACTAGTACAACTGTAAAAGAGCCAGACAAATCTCTTCAGAATGATCGAGGAAGCCTCATATAAGCCTAGTTATTCTTAAGGTGAAAATTAAGAGGTGTAATCCGATGTTGGATGAAGATTCTTAATCATCCGATGCATCATCCCCAATATCTTCAACTTCAAAGTTTACTGTCTTGCTAAGTCCACTACCATCACCATCAACATCCACCAAGTGTGGTTTTCCGACCTTAGCCCGACTGGCAGCTTCTTCAACATCCTCTTGCTCTGTTATAACATCAGCAGCTAATATCTCATTCACGCCCATCTCATCATTATCATCATGGCTCTCTTCGCTTTCTTCGACTCTATAGTAAACCTTTTGAGGAGGGTGATTTAAACAAGAAAAAACTGCTCTTAGATTTCATCTTTAAGCACAAAAACCATAAAGAATGTATCAACTTGTTAGCTACAAGAACTACTTGAGTCAAGCTCAAGTAGATCACTCGTATGACTATAGTTCTTAAGTTTGTACCCTTTTCCAGGATGAGACTAGAAAGGAACACAGATAGAACTCACCACACATGTGCGGGCTGGCGAGAGTACTTTGAAGGAGTTGGGACGATTGTTGAAATTTGTTTCAGGTACTCCTGGTATCCCTTCAGGAGATGTGAAATGGTCTGCATCATGGCCCACCTGACAGATTAATTAACAGAACATCACGAAGATATCAAAACAACTAATGAAGAGGATACTGTGTTAAGTCCGTTCCTAGTTCCTACAAAGAGCCAATTTCCCTATCTTTACAATTTTTTCCTCGTCTACACCCTTCAAAAAAGGATAGTCTTTCCCACTACTTACAGGATACAAAAATCAGTCGTGTAACCATAAGTCAATGTTTTAAAGATAGAGTGAAAAATGATATAGTGAGTATTCACTTCTAATTTTCCCATTTGGTTGTCAATTCTAAATAATCATGCACATGTTTTCTTACTCTTCCATGTCCACCAAATTCCAAGGCATCACTGTCCAGCGCAACTCTATACTTCCCTGGCAGGTCACACCCAACCTTATACCTGTACATACAGAGTACAACGCAGAGAGTTAAAACATCTGAATAATTTACATCAGAATCTTGGAACTGTTTCAAAATTCGCAATACATGCAGTCTGCTGCCAATCATTCTGTACGGAACTACACCCACAGCCTACACATGTGAAAACAACTCTTCTGCTAATTGAAACACATACCCATCATATGTTTTCTCCGGATGAAAATTGAACACAAAAACCAGATCTCCACGCTCAAAGACAATAACCTGTAATGTGTAACAGGTAATCAATTTCATGAATGAAATGATGAAACAGGTTATATATAAAAGTCTTGGAAAAAAACATCCTTGCAACACCTTTGAACTCTTATCTCCCTGATTCAACTTGGTTAATGCACCTCTTAAATAAGACACAAAACAGATATCTATTAAACAGGATAGCTGTACCTTATCTTCTTCATTTGTACTGCTCACAATCTGCTTCGTAGATGCTAGGAATGAATATTTTTCATCAAGCAAATTCATAGCTCTGTCAAATGCATTCATGAACTGAACCAGTGTGGGGGCACAAAAGAAAATGATGTAAATACACATTGAAAACAGTAAAAGATTACATACAACCAATGAGACAGACAATAACAAGATCAGCTGAGACACGCTATGTGCATCCAGCTCATCACATTTCTCATCTCTTATCTCATGCAGTTATCTAGTAACCTCGTATGCTTCTTGAAAAAGTTTGTCGGTAGTGGCTTTTGTCCAAGAAAGATACGGAAAAAAAAAAGTTCCAGATGTATTTAGGCATTTCAAGTATCAAGGTCAACATTTTGTTTTTGATATCTGGAAAACCATAATTAGAAGACTCGGGACACCTTAATAAAGAGGTAGTGAAATTGATGAAAATGAGATCTCAAACCTTGTATCTTAAGTGTTCCATGTCCGCAAGATTCCATTGGCGTCTACACATTTCGTAACTCCATCCATTGCCTTCTCTGGGGAAGTCAATCCACTCAGGATGCCCAAACTATAAGAAGCATTGGTAGCAATTAACACAAGGATTAGACACAAATAGAATACCTGATTTTTAAGCAAAAGAGAAGGAAAGAGTTTCTCCAATTCAGTGTTAGATAAGAGAAGAAAAGATCCAGGTATTTAAAATGTTAGCAAATTCATATATCTTATTTGGGGTATGAGTCTTGTTGGTAAAGCCTTTAATCACATTTACTTTAAAGCAATGTCAAAGGAACATACAGCTCATCCTTACATAATCTAAAAGATTGTGTTTGTTGAAGAATTTAAAATGTTAATAACATGATCCGTGTTTATTATAAAAGAAGATATCTAGGTCTGACAATTCAGTAGCCCCAGGAATACAGAATGAGATTGTGTGCTTACTTCATTTCCCATAAAATTAAGGTATCCCTCACCACCTAGTGCCATAGTTATAGAATGTATCATCTGCAAAATACAATTACAATAATGAGAACAAAGAAAAAATAATAATATTAATCATTGAGCTCGATCCAATTTACAAATTTTTATACCAGTGGTTTTCAGGGCCAAAAACAAGAAACAGCGTCTCAAGCATAGCCATATAATGTTTTTGACTTGGAAAATCAAAGAGCTGAGCCTAAAAGAGTTTAAGGTCACAGGGATGGGCAGACAAAAGCACATTTAGAGAAAGAAAGAGAAGTTACTGTTGGAGCATGAACTGAGGAGAGCGATCTGACATGTTATCATACCTTATGAAGAGCAATCCCTCGATCAACAGCAGGTGGAGCCTCTGTCAAACAAGACATGCCAGAATACATTTCTTTATCCATCAGGATGAAGGCAAGAGTCTTGTCACCTACAATGGACTGCAGAATGAAGACACCATTTTCTTGAGAAGGACATGAAGGTAAAAGTGGACAAGAATGAGAAAGATATCATGCAGGGTAACAAATATAACTAGAAGTATCTGACTACAATAAGTCTAATTACAGAAGAAGACAAACTGGAAAGTTCAAGACATCATACCTGGTCATGGCTCTCGGCATAAGCAACACATTTCTCAGTATATCTCCTATTAGTTAAGCTCCGGGAGATTTCATTCATTGACCACTCTAGATCACTCTTGTTTTTCAGGTAATCAATCCACTTGTCAGGGATGGCCATTGCCAGGCGGTAGTCAAATCCAACTCCGCCCTCAGAGACTGGACAACCAAGTCCAGGCATACCAGAAACATCTTCAGCAATCACTGTTGCATCTGGCAAGATATTATGTATCAGATAATTAGCCAGCATTAAGTAAACAACAGCATCAACATCCGTTGCCTCACTGAAGTACTCATTATAGTCTCCCGTGAATGCCATGTTGATTCCATGGTGATGGTACAACATGGAAGTTACTCCATCAAATCGAAACCCATCAAATTTGAACTCCTCAAGCCACCATCTCAAGTTGGATAACAGGAAGCGAAGAACTTCCCAATTAGCATAATTAAAGAGTCTACTGTCCCATAAATTATGGTAGCCTCGATCTCCAGTGTGAAAATAGGACTCTTGAGCACCTTGGCCAATGTCAAAACCATTGAGACCATCAGTGACATTGTTACTTGCATGACTGTGGACAACATCCATCAGGACACGTAGACCCAAGCTATGGGCTTTATCAATTAAATACTTGAGGTCTTCAGGATTTCCAGATCTGCTGCTAACAGCAAAAAAGTTCGTAACATGATAACCAAACGATGCATAATAGGAATGCTCGATTACTGCCATTAGTTGCACTGTGTTGTAGTTATTTGCTCGTATTCGAGGCAAAACATTATCAGCAAATTCTCTGTAGGAATTAACACGGGGTTCTGAGCTACTCATTCCAACATGAGCCTCATATATGCGTGGGGCATTGGGTTTGGGAGGCCGTGGGAACTTAAATTCATACCTGTATGTTCATAGAAGAAATAGCTCAATGAAGGAAAATTCAAGAGAACAACCAAGACGATTCCTTGTTCTGACAAGTCTAGACCTAAATGATGGTATCAAGATGATCTACAATTGTATGATTCTTGGAAAATCTAACAGGCCATAATTTGGATTAATAGCATCTAATAGATTAAGCAAACAACTATAATAGGGTATGCCAAACACGATTAATTGGTACCTTTCTGAAGTTGGTGGGTCCCAGTACACACCATCATATGGTGCTCCAAAACTTGCAGGATCCACAGTGGCATATTTAATCCAAGCAGGTATTCGATCAACCCAAACCCCATTACCATGCATGAATCGGAACTTGACCCTTGAATTGTGAGGAATTGCTGGATTTCCACCAGAATCAGGTATTTTAATACTCCAAACACCAAATTCATTCTTTTCCATCCTGTGGTTGGAGCCATCCCATCCATTGAAGTCCCCGATAATCTGTGCTTCCCTGCACCAAGCAAAAGAAAGCTTCCAATTACACAAACAATGACTAACAAAGCTGTAGTTCAAATTCTCAAAAAAACAAAAACACTCACTGAGCTGCAGGGGCCCACTCACGGTAGACAATGCCTCCTTCATCTCTATTAAATCCAAATTTCTGATATCCTACATGATGCAATCAGAAGAGTTCAGCACTGATAAAGAGACCAGTAATCAAATGGAAAAAGATAACAAATCTGCTAAACATAGAAAGACAAAAGAACATAAATCTAGGATCCAACCAACAGATTACTAGGTTTATCAAATTTCCATTCAACATTTTGATCTTGACTTCTAAGCAAAAATCAAGTGCTAAAGTGAATTTAGTGAAAATGATCACAAAATTGTCACAATTAAAAGGAAAACTTCAAGTGTCAGTTAAATGTGCTGCACCTCACATGCACAATGTGCATATACACATTGTCCAACAGTTCAGAAAGGATTATGTATATATTGAAAATGAAATCAGAAGGAATGATACTGAAAATTACCAAGTGCAAATTCCTCAAGACCTCCTTCGTATCTTTCAATGAGCTTTTTCTGATCTACATATCTTTTCATTCTATATCTGAAGTGATCTTTAAATGATTCCAACCCAGGATCAATGCTTACAAGACCGATATTTTCCATGCCATCCCCAACGGTTGTCATTGTTGGGTCATCTGTCAAAACCGCTGATATAGCGAAACCATGGCGAACCTTTCAATGAAAAAAAATGCATTATGTCAAGACATTTAAGAATATTGCACTCATAAATTAGAGTTAAAAGGAAACCATCTTGGAAACAAGTGGTGGCCGAACTAAATTCTCCTGTTTTACAGCCTAAGAAAGATTTTTGTACCATATTATCTACTCTTCATTAAGAGAAAGAGCCACCAATTCTCCAAAAAAATTGTTTCATTTCTGAACATTTTCAAAAATTATATAGATTTGTTCCTATCAGAAACCAGCTCATACGTAAACATTAGAAGCTTACAGGCATTCAATTCAATGTCCATGCTCAAATTTCCAGACATACCCTATCATTATTTGAGATTCTTAATGGAAAACAAAATCTGCTGTGACAAAGCAATTTCTTAGACCCCCCAGAAGGCAGTCTAACTGGCTTCTCTTTTGCAGTGCATCTTTTATACCTTATAGCCTG